CTTCCAGCTGATCAAGCAGCTTTCCCCCAGGAAAAAGGGTGCACTTCCTCATTACCATCCCTGGGCAGAATTTTGGCTAGCTTCAATCACAAAGTCCACAACCCACAACCGGGATCCATCATCCTAGCAAGTTCGCAGCTCAGCTGATGTCTTCCCCCCCCATCGTGATTCCATCGTGACGGACTCCAACTTCCAAGAACCGTTCAATAGATTTCGATAGGTTGAAATTATTAGGTCCGGAGGAATTCCGAGGAGGTCACAGCACACACTTCCATCTCGATCTCACGATCGTGTTGGTCGAGTGCAAAGACCCATCCAAGAGGAATCCAGGGAGCGGTTGCCCTTCTTTCACATCATAATCTTGTAATCTGCTATCTTGTAAAAACCGGTCTCCGTGTGGTGGTGGTGTCCAAGAAAGCCCCAAGAAGCCATTCACAATCATCTATTGGAGGTTCCCAGGTTGTACACTGAGCCAAGTCCACCAGCCCGTCTCATCGCGCACACCCTCTCTCTTCAGTCCAGCATTCCTCCTCCCTCAATCGTCAGATTATCTTTTAACCTCCCTTTCCATATTCCGCCATTTCCTCCCCCCACCGCCCGTCTATTAGGAGCTTTCCTGACCGTCTCGCCAAGAAGTCCCACTTGGTGATGCTCAGACTCGGACTGTGTGTGTTCCCAGTGAATCGGAAGGGCGTTGCAAGGGAAGAAAAGAAGCGAACTCATCCCGATTCCCGACAAGCGCGGGGGCAAAAGTCTTCGACGTGCTATACCCGGAGTTTCGAGTTGAGACTTCTCCAGCGGATCCCTCGACTCACCTGCGATTTACTCACTCCACGCATCGTATCGTGATAATGCCCAGAAATAGAAGATCGTTCGGCTTCTCCCTCAAGGCTGCGCGGCACACACATCACGCTACTATAGTCAGAGTACAGCCTTGCGTCAGCAATCCACGACGCAAACGAATCATAAGCGTTATAGTTGTGTTAGTCTCACTGAAAGCGTTAATGCGCCACAAAGAACTTCCATTTGCTTCAGCCAACGGGATCCCGTATCAACGGGGGGTTTCGATCCAAGAATACAGTCAGGCTATTTGATGACTCAACCAGGCCACTCGATGACAGTCAGAGCTACTCGAATGACTATTATTACCACGAACACGAAGTTTGCGTTCCGCGGGCGCCGTACGATAAGCTGCCAGACCGCAAGCTAGTTCGTCCCACAAACGCTCTTACCGCACACCTCGTGCAGTCAGTCTGTCAGCCCTTTGGAATCCACCGAGCCAAAATGTCGTGCTCTCGTTCCCATCAGAAAAGTAGGGAAAGTGACCCGCGACCCCCATCAGGACCATGCTGCCGGGCTCTACACTACTATGGGGGTGGTGGGAACGAAGTGACGGCATGGCAATGCCCCGTCGATCCCGATCGACAAGACTTCTTCTATGGTTTCCCTCGTCCGCGGTCCTCCGTCTTGAGACGCCGGCCTCCTGAATCTTTCTGTGACATGTTCGCCACTGGCTCTTGGGCTACTTGTGCGACTGTTTCTATCCGGGCTTTTGTTTTTTCTCTCATCTCTCTTGGATTCATGGTGCGACTGGATCGACCGATGAGAACACGAAGACGTTTCGAAACGGAACAGCCACCCCTCCCACGCTAGGGCAGTGGCTTGATTGACAGCTTCGTTCGGCAGAGGCTGATGTTGATGCGTGCGACAAGGAAACCGTTGCATTTCACCGGCGGTTCGGTCAAAACAATAGCACCTCGATCGTGATGGGGCCTCATCCATTCAAGGTCGTCGTTAGATCCAAGCCGTGGCTTCCGATGGCCAGAGGACGCAGGGCAGGCACTGCTGTCTTGTGCATTGAATATGTGGTCACTCAGTTATATGCCAAAGAACGTTCAATGACCCAAAAGTTGGTATTCCCATGCCACTAGTCGATATCGATTGAGACTTGCTTTACATGTATGATGTTGAACTTGAGCATCAGCCTCCGTCTGGAATGTGCTCTAGCGTGTCGCGCGTTGTGAGGCTACCAAGGGAGCTGGCGTCAGACTCTTCCCGGTGCATAGGGGCTTGCTTCACCCGTACCCAGACACAGATTGACATGACAATAACATCAAACTTCCTTCCAAGTTCCCAAGTTTCCCGAACGTGTCTCTAATAGATCAAGACAGATGTTTCAAGTTCGTACACTCGACAGGGAGTGGCCGCGCTCACTGCGGCCACCCCAGATCGACCCGCGGGTGCGTCATCACGCGTGCAAGCGCCCAAAGGGAGCCGCCCGGATGTTGTGCATCTTGGTTGTCCCAATAACAACGGTCCGACGCTTTCCCCCTAATAGGGATCTTCTTGTGCATGCCTCCCGTCCCGTACCACAGCCGCTATGGCGGCCGCATGAGACCTGCCAGATAATGATTGACAACGGGGTTCGGAAGTGACGTTGAAGGCGACGCCTAGCTGGTCTTGAACCCTTGGTGGCTTGGAGGATTGGGTACGAAGTGGCTGATTGTTTTTGTGCGCATTGATCAAGGTCAGACGCTGCCGAGATGAAGATGTGCACATTCTTGCGTCAACAATTCTGCCACAACAAGCGCCTTGCCGCGGTCGCGTTCTTGCTTGGGCTGAGACTTTAAGCGAAGGAGTTGGCCGCAATGATCGTGACAGCGATTGAAGGAAAATAAACCCCCTTGATTGAGTTCTTCGAATCCGTTTCTTCATCCAATCTCGATGCACGTATGTTGGCGAGCCTGGCATTTCGAAGTTGAGCCAACGCATCATAGTCCTTCAGTCGATCAAGATCAAGCTCATCGCGATGGCTTCTCTATTCGCCAATGATGCCGTCGTGTTCGCCGGCGAATCGCTTGACACGCTTCTGCTCCCAGTTGTCGATGTCCTTGGCCGCAAGTCGCTGTTATCTTCCGTTAGTCCTACTCCATACACGTCTTCATTTCTTACAACCCGCCGAGTTGCTTCAATATTATGACTTACGTAGTATTCCTCCTTCATGTCAACCTTTCGCGCTGACCGACGCATGTTCAACTCCTCATCCCTGGTAACCTGTCGCACCCTTCTATCGTACTTTTCGTAGCGGATCGCTGTAGCTGGCGTTAAGACGAACGAACCAGCGACCATGACGGCCACGAAAGGCAAGCCAAATAGGAGGAACGGCCTCTTGGCCATCTGCGCCCGGTACTTGGCAGCGAAGGTGTTGGTAGCCGCCGAGGACTGGAACTTTTTGCTGTCGAAGACGGCCATATTGAGTGACGCCTATCGAGAAGAGATGATGACGCGATGTAATTAGACGTTCAGTTGGTGTCTTGGTGAATGGGGCTCGGATCAAATGGCATTCGGCGGAGGTGTTTTCTTGGTCAATGTGTGTATCGTGGGTTTCGCCAGTGGCTTCAATTGTTCGCCGCGGACGTGCAGCACGGAGTGGTCTGACCTTGGATTAGGATGATGCGAAAAAGTACCAAGAGATGGAACTCGAACCATGCGCTGAAAGTTTCCTGGAGCTCCCAGGAGAGTTGAGCTCGGATCCAGGGGCCCCACTTGCCTTAGCCTCATTGCACGTGCCGCGCCTTGCTATGTCATTTAGTCGGGCCGGAGTTATTACATAACCATTATCAGCTGGCATCGTTGGTCCGCTTACTCATCCTGCACCTACTCGCGGATACTCACTCAGTCGTTCATTCACTCGATGAATTGAACATATATCCATTCATTACACTTTCATACCTCTCTCCTCAACTTTCACAAGCATAGATAGACACACTCCTTATCCTCATCGACACTCGAATTCATTGGCCATTCACAAGGCCTGCCACCTGAATTCCAAGATAGGAGCCGCCGCCTTGAGGCGCCGTAGCGGCCCGCATCGGTCTATCGGCTTGCTAGGAAGGGTGAAGGTACCCGTGGCATATTATCTGGTCTTGATTTAGTCCCCTCCGGCCCCTAAAGTCTCTTTTGTTCCATGCTTTGGAGACCTGACCCGTATTATGAATGAGATCATCAAACCACAATTCCGCCAATCCTTCCTGGACTTTATAGCCCTATCTTGACTGAACACCATTGGACTGCTGACGTGGAACCCCTCCGAACGGTCTCGACCAGCTCCATCCGCATAACCTGTGGCCGGGCAGAGGGTCCCCCGTTCTCCATCAACCTCAAGCAAGGCTCAACCTGCCGTTGTTTCCCCCGGCACACCAACTGTCATCACCACAAATAGCATTTCCGTACATACGCTTGATCTGAGTAGGTATGCCGCACATGCGAGCGGGCCCGCTCTCCAAGAGACCGTACACGTACCCTTCTGAGCCACTCCGTCCCTACTTTGTGTGCCATACTCTGCACTTCGGTCTCATCTGAAACCAAGCACGCCTAGCAAACGCCTTTCGCCCCCAACTACCACCAGCCACGCCCAGCGATGTTCCCCGCAAACCTCCCTAGCAGTGGCACGTCTTGTGTCTTGGTACCGTCCTGCCTACTTGTTTCTCGTCGTCTTGAGCCGCCAATGTTAGACGTCGTGAGTCGGGTCGCTGCCCGTCGTCAAGAGACCAGCCCCACAGCCTGCCACAAACACAAACAAGCGCTATCTCCCTCAAACTAGACGGATCCCAACAGCGTCAGTTAACAACCAGGAGGTAGGAACATGCAGCAGCAACTAACAAAGGGGCCAAGGGGAACCAAGGGGCACGCTGGGTTCCCGGAAAGCTGGGAACCGTGCCGGAGAAGCACTGACCAAGCAGAAACTTTGGCCCAATGCCCAGCACAGCGTAGCACTTGGCCCGCAGGGCTTCAATACCGTCCCCTCTTTTCCCTCTTTGCTACACATGGTGTCCATGGCGGTGCCTACCTATAGCTCTTTAATGAAAGTTGGTCCGGCCATCCCCTCCATCCCCCCTGTATGACACAGTGAAAGCCATTTCGTCGGATGATTTTTAGGCTTAGTTCTGCTTGCCTGTCGGGCCACAAGCCGGCTAGGAGCTCCTGAAGGGGGCAGCCCTGGACAGGTGTCACGGTCTCCGAGGCTTGTTTCGTTTCGTTGAGGCGGACGACGCAAAGCGAGCCAAGTGGCAGTGGCCTGCTACCTGCTCTGCTGCCGCAAAGAAACTTGCCGGACTATCCAAGAGCGTGTGTGTTGTGTTATTAATGGACCTTCTCCGTTGCCAGCGTCTGGGCGGCGGTGGCGTTTGGGGCATGTATAAGTTTCTCCCAAGTCCTTCTCCTCCATCTCGTTACAAGTGCTCAAGCGACTTGGCATTCTTTGACGTCCCGCGAACATCAGAAAGATCTGCTCAATCTCCCATCGTACCCAGGCTGGTCCATCCCTTCGAAGTTTCGAGATCCACTCTACTCCCTCGCACACGTCCACCAATTCAACTCTCAATTATTTACACCTCCAGGGCCTCACACATTTACACAATTATCATAATGGGTTACTACTGCTCCAACTACTACGTATGTCTATCCAAGATCGCGAGATGGCACGATCAGCTGGCTTACGTGACTCTTCACAGGGCTCCATCCACTGCCACAACACAGTCTCCCGCTTTGGCGATAGATGTCATCTCTGCGCAGTATGTGAAAGCTTTTGAACTACTGTCAGCCTTCCATGGTCTCACATTCTCCCGTCACAGGCATCAAAAAGAGGCGCTTCCATTAAAGATGGTCTTCTTTCCGAGGCCGAGCGATGGGGTTCCTCCACCCCCCGGCCCACCCACGGCGATCGCCGGGTCGAGCGGGCCAGCCGGCCGGCTCGGGATTCAAGGGTGAAGAACTAGGGCAACTACACGGATGATTTGACGCATAACACTTTTAACGACCAAAGATGAGAGAAATTAGAAAGAGACGAGCGAGAAGCGAGCAGTCGGCGCAGTCTAGGGCGAGGAAGCATATCCAACAGCCGGGACGGGACGGGTGTGATACACAGGCGTTCAAAAACCAAAACAGGACCCCGCGATGCGAGACGGTCCAAGCATTGTTCTTTCATTTGGGACACAACATTGGAATGAGGCCTTCCAACCCATGAGCCTCTCATTCAAGCTATTAGAGAACCACATACCAATTTCAGTGTTTTGCCATCAACATCAACTTTTCATCAAACCTGGAATCACAAATACCCCGCTCGAACATGTGGACTTCCATGAAGCCCTGATGCCGCACGCTGTGTAATCCCCGTAGCCGTGACATTGTCGAGTCAGAGCACCCCGCTAACTCTAAATTGACGCGCCGCTGTGATGGCAATGATCTCTCACAAGAACTTAGGTTCTCATGTCACTGGGCGACCAACTGATGTCGAGAGGGGTCGGTATCGACAACTTTAGGAAGCCGATGCTCGAACCTTGGACAGGACAACTTTCAACCCAGACTCAATGAGGCAACGTAAGCAAGGCATCTCAGAGTCCGTGTGCTGGAGATGCATGGCCACAATGCCCGTATTTCCAAATCTAGGGACCCGTAACCATGACAGGGGTGTGCCGTGTCCCGAAACCACATCACACTAAACAAAACCAGCTCAGTTGAACTCAGAAACACCGCCCCAACAGTTCGGCTTAGAAATATCCACCATACAACTCTACTGTGTGGATAGTAAATGCCTCCCCTTTGCCGATGGAAAGCAGACTTTTTGAGAACTCGAGTCAAAGTTGAAAGTTCACAGAGGAGCAATCCTGTGTCATGGAAATCTCAACTTGTCTGATCAATGGTTAGAAAAAGGTTCAAACCATGACAGGTGGGCCTATAAAAAGGGTTTGTTTCAGAATCTGCGGCAGATCCACGAACAACGTATTACTATGCAGCACTCCTCTCAAACATTGCACGTGATTCTCGAACATCCAGCTGTCAGAAGATTTGCGTGGACGGCCCGAACAGCTATCAGTCATTGCTTTCCGAGGGGAGGATCAGAGATTGCCGCCGGGACGAGTTGAGACGATCACGCCATGGCCAGACAGAGCCCGGACCGTCCAAGATCATGGATTCTCTGTGGCTCTCGACTGGAAACTTCGGATGGTGCTTTCCGCTCTTGCAAGTCCGACGTCCCTTTGGACGGACCTTGTAAACCGGCTTCTGGGCGATGATCACGCCTTGATAACAAGTCAAGGGATGCTGATATCGGATATGAGTTTTATGATACCAGCCCATATGTCAACGCGGAGTAGGTTGTGACTAGCAGGGGAACACTTTGAATCTATGCATAGGTATTGGAACAACGATTCTGGCAGATCGACAGGTAGATGATTGAACACTACGGAAAGCCGCTCTTATGACTTCTCGGATTCGCTACAGCAGAGACCTACGGCCCGACTGACTTATGGGTCGGTTACTTTGCATATGAACCTGCATTATCTGCCCATCGTCCAATGTCGATCGTACGCCCGTAATGCCACGTGGTGGAGCAGACCCCTAACACAATCGAGGTTTGACTGTCATATATCACGCTTCAATGATCTGTCGTTTACTGGTGGCATCAGCAGGCACAACCCGCAACCTCTATATTTAGAGTGCACAGTGCACAGCCAGCATGAATCAGGATATCAAGAGCAAGGTGTCCTGGATGTTGGGCGTAGTTCCATGAGATACGTTAGACGAAATTTGTATTGTCTTTCAACATCAGCCTGGATGAGGTCCGGGACTGCCCTCCCATTGAACGTGTCAAAATTTACTTTCTGCCTGTGAGAGGGGCTTTTCATCACTACTTCCAGTCCATTGAAGTCAGAAATCACATCTGGCCTTTATCCACGACTGGAAGAATTATCTCTCGGTAACCCTCGCTATCACATACTATCCATCTTACATGATGGTTCATCAGTGGCTCCAAACGTGCGAGGAATCGGCTCTGTATTCGAAAGTTCATGCGCTAATTCTCTCAGTTGCGTTTAATTATACCTCTTAACTCCATAGTAACATGAACCTACCACAAGCTAATCATTTGGACACAGCCGCAGAAACTCCTGCTACATTCCAAATTTTGCCCACAGTCTGATATCAGTGACGGTCCATGAACAATACATATAAGATTAGCGACACCAATGGTACCAGTCCATAATCCACGTTGGTCCGCCACACGCGACTCTCAAGGCATTTAGTGAGGACCTGTATATATAATTAAAGTATTTTGCGTCGTGTGTTTTCTTACATCTTTTACCTTACTTACGTGTGCGCAAAGGAATCAATGTCAAAACACTATGTCAAGAAGCAATCCACCCCTATCTCCCCAACTCAACACCCCAGAAACAATCAAACAACTGCAAAGTACTGGTATGGAATCCCATTCGAAGCCACCAGAGACCAGTGCTATGATACCGCCAAAGACACTCAACTTAGCTGGCATATTCCACAAGTTCCCGCGCCTACCTCTGGAATTGCGTCTTCTCATCTGGAATTAGCTCTTTATCAGCTAGACATGAGGGCGCAACCACTGTTTGCCAAGCTCCCGCAACACTTTGGAGAAAGAGGCTGCCCTCTTAGAAATATTTGAGCACACCACGGAGTCCTCAAAATTCGTCGAATACTCAGAGCATGCGCCCAGCAATTGCAATTAAGTCTGGATGCACGGTACACCTTCAATGCATTTCGTTGATGTTAGCATTTGGCTGGCGTGTAAGGAGTCTCAAACGGTGTTGAAGCAGGCCATCAAAGACTGTATTCGCAGTAAATCCGAAGACAAGAGGGCCAAGACTTCTGGTAGTGAAACATTACGAGAGATGCCAGTTTCGGACAGCAGCTCCGCCGACGCCACATGTTCATTCACCAGTCAAAATTTTCAACAGAAGACTGATAGATGGGCATCTGCCGTGACCTTCAACTGCGAGCTCTTCTGCTATCAGCTTAGGAAAGACAAGGAAGCGGCCATACCTAGGCCGCCTCGCTTCCCTCTTGAATCCTTTGCTGACGACTTCCTGAGAACCCTGGGAACCCGGGGTATTGTCTTCGCGTACGATTACTCATGAATGTTCAATTCGATTAGAGAATCGGTGTTCGATAGGATGGACCAGGAAAATATCAGAGGTTCCTTCTTAACAGCCTTGGACGATACGGATGATGACGGGGAGGCGCAAATCTATCTCATAAACTATGGTCTCTGCCTGAAGCCTGGTGCTCGGATTTCTAAGTGTTTCGACGGCGGTGACCGCAGGTTCAATGATTTCTACTATCTTGATATTGACCTTGATAGAAGCAGATTTTTGGTGGCTCTGGACTTCCTCGATGAGATCAAGGATTGGGAACAATCGATGTTAGACAGATCGGGTTCTGGGACGACCGATGACTTGCTTGTGCGGCCACCAAGCTGGAAGAAATACGTCAATGTGCACATGCTTGTCCGTGTGCTCGCTTGTGAATTAGCTCAGTAGTAAAAGGCTAGGAATCTAGGGTTGCATAGTGTTGAAAAGTAGAAGTACTGAGAGGTTATAAAAACCATCATACATCATTCTCATTAATCCACTAACTGCCCACAACTTGTCAATACTCAGGTACTATCTTGATGGGATATCAGATTGCTTCAGAGTCACCCAGCTCTGCCAATATTTCACCACCTTTCCACACTATCAATTTCCTCGGGGTTAGTCCCAGTTGCCCTCAATTCTAAGGTAGGAACTACCGATTCTTCAAAATCGTTTTCATCTCCCTTCCTTGGACTAATCTGGTACGCTGTACTACTCTACATGAGCAGGCTACCTTGGCAGGCGGTTCGACTTAGTTATGAGAGCCTGCCGCTTACGGCAAGGCATCCATTACACGAAGCTGACACACTGGACGAGGGGCTAGGAGCAGTCCGAACCAAGTCTGCGATGGCGGAGGTGAACTTGAACGATTTGCTTGATTGGATGCCGGTCAGATGCAGTAGGTATTATCACACAACCCGTCGGTGAGACAAGTGATGCAGGTAGAAGTGCCGTGCATGATAACGCTGACAAGCCGTGCCAGCCTGCTGGAGCGGGGTTTTGTCTGACATCCAACCAGCTCCAAGACGACCGAACCGATGCGCCCGATCATAGCCGGTGAGAAATCAGGCGACCAATTAGGTCGTTATATATGGGAGGTCACGTCCTGCAGGGAACAGCCGGCATGTAGGATTCTGGGTCCCCTGGCATGGCCTGTTGATACGGGCTTGTGGCGATGTGGTCAGTCTCCGACCCTGATCATCGAGGCAAATCGACACATTAATTCTGGGGCTCAGCTCTCGCCATTCCTCAAAATGTGCCTCGCTGTTACTTTTCCTCTTTTGTATCGAACCCCGCATGGGATCATCGAATTGATAGCGCAATGATAGTCTCGACAATCAATGGGTACAGAATGCGACGAGATGCCCTTGAGGCTTGGCTCCAGAGTTATCTAGGCGCCGGCAACTTTCACCTCACAGTAAGTACTTGAGCTTTTTCCTTCAACCAATCTATAAGGAAAGAGAGGCATGTACGAAAGTACACATAGAAATACACGGTTACGGGTAGGCAGAGACCTAGAGGAAAATAGGGACAAAGACAAAGGACAGAGTGGGAGAGGTAGAGAAATGAGGGGAATAGATAGGAGCAGAAAAATAGAGCTGACTCTGGGCAGTCCAAGGACGGCGACTATGTGATAACGGCCGCAATAACAATCACTCAGGTAAACCCGTATACCAAGCCCTAATGCCGCTCTAAACTAACCATAGCGATCTGAAGAGCAATGTCCAGCACCTGGTAATACCTCAGAAGAAGAAGAAGAAGAAATCGATGTCAGGTTAGGATGAGCGATCAGATCAAGAATGGAGGTAGAAGTTGGACACACAACATGTTCCTGACTCGTACCACACTCAGACCTCACACTGGGAGTACAATAGCCCAGGAAGCGGAGGTGTGTGTTTGGGGTCATAAGCAGAGGGGATTTCAGTCA